TTTGCGCCACGGACCGGTTTATGCCCGACAATATTTTCACGGACCGGCCTTTAAGGTGTCGCGGATAAATACAACAAAATAAAACTAGTACCGAAAAAAAGAAGATTTATTCATAACACACGTGAAAAGACCCAGGAAAATTGAGTTAATAATAAAAACGATAAAAACCCTGAAAACTATACATTTCACACCTGAGCCTCAACTCTCACGGACCGGTACCGGTCCGGGGCCTGGGGGTTGGGGACCGCTGCTGTGGACCAAACCACTGAGAACTACATGAGGGGAGTTTATGTTTCCCCTCTATAATTAAATCAACAGCTTTCACTGCATGTACACCGATGCACTGAGGAGGGCGCCTTCCTCTTTCATTTCCACCATGTACAGTTGCATTATTAAATGCACATTATAGGTTACAGATGTTCTACAAAAGCCTTCAAATGTGGAGCTTTTGGAACTAAACAACTTTAATTTATTCAGATCTAGAAATACTTTCACTCTTCGTGTTCCCTCCTGTTAGTGTCTCCTCAGCTGGAGATATTAATGATGTCACTGTGATTGGACCGTTTCATTGGCTGAATCTGGCCGTGTGTCTGACACCCCAGACAGTGAGCTTTGAGTGACTGAAAGAAATGTTAAAGGTGTTCTCATCAAAATCACAAAAGTTTAATTTAAAAAGACATAAAAGAGATAACATGATCTTTAGCATCTTTGAGGCTCTTGCCAGCTCTACTCCTGCTTTTCTCTACAAACTTATGTTGACTGGACAACAGAGAAAAATGATTTCTGCACCATAAACAAACCTTTTTTTAAACAGACAAACAGAAAAGTGTGTGAGTGACGACAAAATACGGAAACATGTGAAGGAAGTGATTTTATTGTCGGGGTTGGAAATTTATCACACATGCAAACAGCGATGTCGAAGCCGTGTATCATCAATATTTTATTAGCAAACCAGAGAGAAGTTAACAAAAGAAATCATTACTGCAGGAACTGAACATGTGTTTCTGTACAGATCCAAATATACTACAATATATACTATTATACAGGTGGATTACAATTCATGTCATTAGTACAGCAGTCGCAAAGAAAAACTTCAAGTCTGTTACAGCAGTGTCGTCTGATCTGAGCAAACTCGCCTCCTGATTCGTGCTGCCGACCTGCTTCCTCTCTGACTGATGATGATGATGATGATGATTCGGCTAATATGGGCATGCTATGCTAACATTCCCTGTTTTCCTCAAAGTGCTAAAGATTCCTCTGAACGGCAAAAACAGAAGGACCGTAACTTTTTTTTTGCTAAACCAGAAAACAAAAAGGCCAAAAAAGTGAAAATACAAAGACTCCAGTTCAAATTAAAAACAGTGGAGATAAAAGACGCAGGCTGAAGCAGAAGTGTAAAACATTTTACGCACAGTTTAAGGCCTGATGATTCAGTAACATCGAGAGGTGGAGCAACATCTGTGTTGGCGGAAACTGCCATGTTTGTGATGGAGCAGCGATCGGCGCCACTCGCAGGTGTCCTGTTTTACTTTTCACACGGATTTAACAAACGTGACACAGCGTCAGTGAGATTTAGAGTTCAGAGTCATTTCCTTTGTTAATGCTAAACTAACCAGCTGCTGCAGAACACAATGAAAAACATCTGCACATTTCTACAAAAGCGTCGAATCAGAGGACTGTGAGCATCAATGACCCAGTTCGTTCCTGTAAAAATCAGATGGATGTTTGAGACTCTGGTTTGATGAATCATGAAAGAAACTGCTGTTTTTCTCAAGAAGTCCCTGAAAAATCAACATGCAAAATAAAAGTACACAAACACACCAAAACACTGTACACACCAGTGTACATCTCCTGTTAGAAAACACAGGAAACTCTAAACTGCTGCTGATGCAACAGTTTAGAGTTCACACTGAACGTGGACGTCGCGTCAAACAGTGAAGACGAACCTGCTGAAAACTGAGACATCAGAGAGGATTTCAGGCAGCAGCCTCTGAATAAAAGTCCAAATTTTTAAACAAATCTTCAGCCAATCACGTCACGTTTTTACAAATAATTCAGTACTACTACTAACCAAGAAAAGACTGAACCTCTGATGAAGGTCAAAGCTGTACAAAGGTTATGAAAACACCTCGAGTGTGTGGCCCAGAAATGATCTTGAACTTCTCGTTTTGGTGCCGAGCTGCACAAACGTTGCCACAGCTAACCTTGTTAGTTAGCTCTGTTAGCTAGCTGCATGACTAGCTTTGTTACTATAACGACGCCAGCAAAAAACAACAACAACAAAGCAAAACCCGCCTCTGAAGAAACACACACACGTGAAGCCTCCCTTATAGAGCCTGTCCACATGTGACAGTGGCAGCGTTTGCATTAACGTGCTCCTCTGGGGCCTGCCAGATGCTGAAGAGTGAGCTCTAACATCTGGATCTGTTTCCTCTGCAGCAGGAAGAGCAGACACTGACTGAACGTAAAAACCAGAAGCCTGGGGGCCAACTTAGAGTTGTAAAACCCTTTCTGCAGTGTGTGGTGAACAGCTCTGAACGAGCTCCTCATGAACTAAGACTAAGATCTGCATGTATAGTTGACAATAGCTGCTAGTAATTCACAACTAAGACGTCCATCTTCAGTGAAACCAAACACTCTGTGTGAACTGTGAAAACATTTAAAAATGTCCAAAATCATCTTCATCAGAAACCTG